TGTAAATTAAGATAAGACTTAATTTATGCTTGAGCTGGGCAAAAGCAACTGCAACCTCAGACGTCCAATAGAATGCCTTTGTATATCTTAGTAGGTCCATCAAGGGTGCTATATTACAAAGTGTGTGCCCCTGTGTGAATTGGAAGCAATACTTTATGAAGTGTCAGATTAGATATAGATCCTTGATAGAAGCAAGAGTCCCTCCCCCATTGCATAACAGCATCCCCCTGGCACAAATTTGGCTCCAGACTGCGTAGGAGAAGTTTCAGGAATCCTAGCTCTGCTTTTTTTGTGCTGGCATTCCCTCTTGCTTAGCAAATAATCAGTACTGGCACAAGTACTCAAGGGAATTGTGCATCAGTTAACTGGACATGCTGTGTGCATTACAGGGTAAGTGAGAAAATTGTCAAGTAAGCTACTATTGTGTATTCCATCAAGTTGTGAAAAAATAAAATTTGTAGATTGTTTAAAAACCATGGTGGGAGGGGGTATTCAACAATCCAAATGGTTTCACAGACATTGCACATTGCACATTGACAATATCTAGAAGGCTGTTTTCCATTCATTGCCCTATTGATCCTTATCAGTTTTGTAGGTCCCCTGAAAGTCCAGCTTGGTGAACAGGGCAAGTATGGGTTATTCGATCCAGGAAGTCAGGAATCAGAGGTGGTGGAGAATAATTTTGAACCATTATGACAAAAACATAAATTCCCCTCTCTTTTTCTGAATGGATAATAGGAAGGCCTGAGGAGAAGCTAAGGACTAGATACACAATTACGTATGCAGAATCTAGGTCTTTCGCCCTGTTAGGGAGTATAGCTAGGGCACTGGAAGGGGGACACCTGGGATCACATTAACAGTGTGGTCAAATGATTGGTAAGAGCCCAATTCGTCTACCTTAGCTATGTTAAAGATGTTTCGAACATCTTTCTGTTAGGAGAGGAATTTCATATTGGGGGCTAATGACTAGTGACAACTCAGTCCTGACTTGAACTATGTTCCTTACAGTAGGCGAGTTAAACTTGATTGGAATTCCAACTAGGGGTTGGAATTGGGCCGCTCCAGTCACTTGATCTCCAATATCACAAGAGAATAGGGAAGACCATATATAATAAGAGACTAGGTCAAGACTTCCATATTGTTTCCTACTCAATAAGTGTTTCCTTTTGTGTTTAATTGGTCAGGACTAGGATAATAATCTATCATTTTTCTTTTTAAAAACCAGGTGAGGTTGAAGAAAGATATGCTGCTGGTGTTTCAGGGATGTTTATCAAAGAGAGTGAGGAAGGGTGGCAGTGTGAGCCACGTAAAGTCTCAGAGGTGCTTGAGTCTGTAAGAGCAGGAGCTCTAGCATCAAGGGTAGGGAAAGAGTGGGTTGATGGAGAGGCTCCATGGTAGGCCCGAGGGAGTGTTGGTCCATCAGAAGGTCTACTCTCTCTAGATGACCCTTAGGCATTTTTCACCACATTTTGTACCTGTTGGTGGGTCAACTGCTGAATTGTCTAAGCAGTCCATGATGCAGGAACAGCTTCTCAGTGTTTAATCAGATTCATTTGGTTGGGATGAATTGTGACTGCCATCTCCTATGTTGCATAGGTTCGTCAGCATGAATGGTGACTGAGTCATTGGGGGATTCAATGGGCCTCTTAAGTCAACATGGCAGATCGATCTAGAAGCAGAACTGAATCTTGATTCAGGTGTATTGGTGGATGCCCACCAGTAGGGTATAAAGCTACTTCTCCATGGACCAGTTTGTCTCAAATGGCATCAACCAGCACCTCCAAAGAGTGGTTAGTGAGGGTCACTCATAGCAAGTCATCAACCTAAGTACCCTGAAGATGCTAGAGTATTCTCTGACTGGGATCTGATGATTGGTAGTTTCCCCTTGTAGTGGTTCATGAAAAATCTGAAAAGAGCTTCTAGATAAAATTCAGAAGGGAGCTATTTTCAGGGGACACATAGAGTAGTTTCCAGTGGTCAGGAGAAGCCAACAACTGAAATTTTAGGAAAGCTACCTTTCCCTGTTTTAAATGGAATGCTTAAGGATAAACCCACTAATACCCTTGTTTTAGTGAGAAAGCAGGTCAGAGAACTTTTCTAGTAGAAACATTCTGTTAAGTGAAGGTGACCAAGTTTCTACCTGTTCCAAGAAACTTTTGGTTTCCTCTCAAAAGCAGGTGATTTTTTCTAGGAGTGTGGCATACTCTAGAGCCTGGGATTCTCCTTGGAACTGCTGTTGGAAGGTAGCATTTTGGGTGTGTGAATAGATTTTGCTGCAAAGTCAGCATGTATCCCCTCTGGATGCTTCATTGCTTGGAATAACTAAGACTTGAACAATAGAGAAAGCCAAGAATGTTCTGGCTTGTGCCAGGTTGAGGGAGGTATTAGGAAAAGTGTAACCAAGCCTATTAAATGATGGCTTGAGCTTGGGTCAATGCTAGATCCCAATCCAGCAAAGAATGATGGGCAAATGCCAGAGAATGAAGGGAGCACCAGACTGGTTTGCTCATTGGGAGAGAAGTGAACACTTTATAGCTAACAGGTGAACAGCATAAAGCAGGGTAATAAAGAAGCAGTGTAAGGTCAAGGCTGGTGTTCAAGGTAGCCAGATTCCATTCAGGTGAGAGGAAAACAGCTTGAGGCACAGTAACCGCGGGAATCTAAAATCAGAGGTTCAAGTGGAAACCATTTCTAAGCGAAGAAAGCCAAAGCAGAGTTAAAGTCAGAGCAAGACATGATTGAGGACCAGGTAAAGATGACATTTGGCTTAACTCAGTGCTCCTCCCCCACCCCACAGTGCCCCTACCTGGATCACACCCACTGGTAAGGTCACACCCACCTTCCTATGAGCTGCAGATGGTGCTGACACAAGACCTTGATGAGAACCTGGATTCCATCAAGGATTCAGTTGTGGATGGTCTAATCCCAGCAAAGACCTCACTGGGGCTGGGCTTCCCAGGCTTGAGAAGAGCTTGTTTATTTGGCTCAGTGAACTTTGCCCTTGGATGGGGGGATAGTTTGAATAGAAGGTGCTGTCTTCCCTTCTTCTTGGATGGGTAAGGCAGCAAACACTAGCTGTCTAAGTAAAGACCTTTAGGGCAGAGAAGAATATTGTGGGGTGCTTCGTAGGAGAGAGGTGGCCCAAGAGGCCCTTTGAAGGTTTTGGTTCTAATGGGTTGAAATCTATCCTCTCTTCATATTTTCTCAAAGTGATTTACTTCTGCCTTCTAGAAAGCTTACTGAACTCCCACTCCTCTCCATGAGTCAGGGCTTTGAGGCTATGAAGAATCTTACTATGTCTCTGATTTTCCTTCATTGCTGAGGAACTTTAGACCTGAGAAGTAAATGTGCAGAAAGATGGTGGGAAAGCTAGGCTAGGGTAGACCCAGAGCCTTGGGCCATTATGGTTCTACCTCTGGTGCTTGGAGAATGACTTATACCTGAGAAACGGGTACTATCCCAGGGTCCCTTAGAGAAAGCCAAACTTTAGCTTAATCCCATGGAAAGGGCTCCAAGTGGAATCAACAGTAGAATACCCCAAGGACCACAATATACTATAAACATCTTTATCACACAGGACATTGAATGCAAGCATACATGGTCACATTACAACACAAGAAAGAGTGGTAGGTTGGGAAAGAGGAAGATAAGAGGGAGGAAGAGGTAAGAAGTGAGAGAGGAGGAAGAAGGGAAAGATAAGAAAGAAAAGAAAGAGAGATGAGGAGGAAGGATAAGAGAAGAAAATATGAGAAGATATGAGGGAGAGGAGGAAGAAATGGAGGAAGAGGAGAGGGGAAGAAAAGAAGAAAGGTTGAAACTGAAGAGGAGGAAGAGGGGGAAGAAAAAGAAGAGGAAGCAAAGTTCAACGTCACAACTAATCAAGACAGACCAACCAGCACTCCAATAACTTTCCACCATAGGCACTAAATACGGCACTCCACAATCCCCCCAAAAGAAAGACCATTAAGGGGGGGGAGGGGTAGAGAGCTGAGAGCACAGGATTGAGGACTCAAAGGCACATCATGCAATGACCTCACAACTGGCCACATGACGTCATCAGTGGACAGATGACACCATGCTTAAGTGACTTACAGTTTCAGGTTATTTGGGGAGGGATAGGGTATTTTGGGGTCTCCCATAACAGCTAGAAAGCCACTGGGGCCATCTGGTCTGGTGGGTGGTGATTGGGTTGAAAAAAACAAAACATAAAGAAAAGAGGAGTTGGTTTGATGGCCTTTTCTCAGATTCAGGATGTTCAACCTCTGCAAACCAGAAACTCCCACCCATTGCAGCCCTCAGAATTGGCCCTCCCATCTCTGGGCCCAATTCATCAAATCTCTTAGTACTGGAAAGTCAGGAGAGACTGGATTGAGGGATATTACTAGAACATTTATGTCAATTTAACACAAAATCCAGAATTCACCTCTATCAGGAGAGGTGGCCTGGGCCTTACTGAGAAGTGCAGAGATCCTCTGTACATTGACCCTATTGTTCCTTATCATTCCCTGCCTGGGAACCAACTCCACCATAGGGTTCCCTTTCCTATAAGACTGAAGGCCCTATCCAAACACTGGGCTGTATCAAAACACATGGCTAGTGTGGCTGGAACCAATCTTGGCTTCTGAGGGGGACTAGGAACTCTGCTGACTTAGGGTGGTAGTGACTCTAGTTCAACGTAGGCCAGGGAGGCTTTGTTTGGGGTTCTGGGAGATAGTTTGGTACTTCGAGGAATCAAAGGGACAGGGCCTCTAGGAAAAGGGTCTCATCCCTGTAGGAAGACTATTCCTCCCTCCTCTCAGTTTTGTCAGGAATCAATAAGAGCCCCACTCAGCCCCCATTAGCCTAAACTGACATGCTCACAGCAACAATTCAGGCTTAGAACAATAGTCCAGAGGGGAGATGGGTGAGCCAGCTGAGAAGGCAGCACACCTGTAGTGAGGGTGGCTTTAGATACCAAGCGTTTAGGAAGCATCCCCTGGCCCTGACTGTGTCCATCTCACCTGTCTGTAATCAGTCAGGGCCGGCTCAGTAGGGCCGGTTGGCATCCTTTGGCCGCTTCAGCTGAACCTTGAGCCGCTTCATGCCAATCTGAAAGCCATTCATGGCCTGGATGGCTGTCTGCGCACTGGCTGGATTGTCGAAGCTAACGAACCCTGAGCGGAGAGAAGGCAGATTAGTCTTTTCCATACCTCCAACACTCCATGTCCCCAGCTTCACCCCACAAAAAGGCCCCCTGCCATTGTCCGTAACTCCATTCATCCTATCATAAGTTCTCTTTGCCCTCCCACAAAACTTCATAGTTCATAATTTCATGTCCCCTTCTTCTAGAGTCCTCAGCCATACAATCTCATAGATGTTTCTTTTTTTAATTTTATTTTTTTCCAATTGCATGCAAAAACAATTTTTAGCATTCACTTTTTAAACCTAATAGAAGTTTCTAAATCAATTATCCACTTCTCTCATCCTTCATTTCCCCAATCATACTTCAGTATGTGCACCTAATGCCTAAGTTTCATGAAAGTGTAGTTCTTGAGCAGGAGGAGGGGAATTGTGTGTGTGTGTGTGTGTGTGTGTGCTCATGTAGAGCCAGTTTACCCTGTCCTGAAGGTCCTGAAATCTTAATTCAGTAATGCCTTTCCCTAGACTAGTTCATTGACTGGGATGAAAGTGAATCTTATATCAAAGAAGACTTCATCCCAGCAACGACTCCCAGGGAGAAAGGTTTGGTGACTGTAGGATATTTTTCCTCAATATTCTATCCTGCGCTGATATCTCCAGTCTCTCCCTGGACCTTCTTTCCTCTTCCTCTTTATCTTTTCTCCCATTCTTCCTTCTCCTTCTGTAGGAAGACCACGATAGTCTCTGTTCTTCTAACCCTTCCTTAGATGTTATCAGAGTACAGTTGTACCCATGGAACTTCTACTTGCCAAATGGCTTCAGGGTCACTTACAAGCCATTGTGATCCAGGGTGACCCACATTCAGGTTAATATATAAAAAGAGTCCAAGAGTATATACCATCCTTGCCTTGGCATCAGGCTCCCTTTTAGAACACAGATGTTATTTATCATCTTGCTTCACCTGAGCTCCAGGCTCTGACCTATGGTCTATAGGATATAGATAGACTATCCCAATCACAGATATTTTGAAATCCTTTACTACTGCTTAACTTCCAGGGTTCAAGACCTTTGCTTGCTTGCTTGCCTAGGACCTCTGACAGCTGAGAGCCCTTAGTGTGTCAGTCCTGGATCTGGACCTCTTTTGGGTGAACTGAAGAGCAAGAAGAACAAGGTCTTCTTTATCTTCACCTTCACCTTCACCTTCACCTTCACCTTCACCTTCACCTTCACCTTCACTTTCACCATCTTCATTTTCACCTTCACCTTCACCTTCACTTTCACCTTCATCTTCACCTTCACTTTCACCTTCACTTTTACCTTCACTTTCACCTTCACCTTCACTTTTACCTTCACTTTCACCTTCACCTTCACTTTCACCTTCATCTTCACCTTCATCTTCACTTTCACCATCTTCACCTTCACCTTTACCTTCACCTAATTAATCTGAACTCTTAATCCTGACATGGTGTCATAGAGTCTCAAAGTTGGCCAGCAGCTCAGGATTCATCTTGTCCTAGCTACACCTGAATAGGATTTCTCTGCAAAACATCCCTGACAAGTGACTGTCCAATTTCTACTTGAAGACTATCATGTTTAGAGGCAGCCTATCTCATTTTCAGGCAGCTCAAATTGTCAGAAAGTTTCTCAGATTAAACCCTTTTTTATCCATTGGAAGGGTAATGTCCACAGGATGAAGGGTCAAATATTGTCTTGGGACTGGGGTGTCATAGTCCCAGGATTTGGGCTTTGGTTCAGAAGGGGTGTCAGGTGTCATAGGGTTTAGGGGATTAGAAGTTCAGAGCTGGGGATCATTGGGGTTACAATGGTTAGAGGATCAAATACCAAGGCCAGGGAACTGGGGGCTTCCAATGAGAAACTCACCAAAGCATTTGCTCTGGTTCGTGGCACGGTCTACAAAGACTTTGGCAGAGATGACGGTGCCGAAAGGCAGGAACATCTGCATGAGCTCGGCATCTCCGAACTCTTGGGGCAGGTGATAGATGAAAAGGTTACAGCCTTCAGGGCCTAGTTATAGAGGGAAAAGGCAGATTAACGAGAGGACCTCCCTTAGGGGCCCTTGACACTTCAGCTCCCCTCTTCCTGACAGGGGTGGGAGGAGGAAGAATGGGGAGATAGTGCCCCACTCTACTACTTGTTCAGGATATTTTCCCCAGCCCTGGCACCATCCCTTCTTACCTTCTCTCTGCTGCTGAGGCAGGATCGGGGGCTGTGGTGGGAAGGCTGTGTTCACAGGGGCATAGGCGGCTGGGTATGCTGCTGGAAACAGAGGAAAGAAGGTTTGGGGTGAGGAGCTCTTTCCCCAGTGACATCCTAATCAGGTCTCATTCCCACTCTTTTGCTCGGGGCTTCTCTTGGCACATGTGGGTCATTTCTGTGTTTCTATCTATAAATTCTATGTCTATATGTAGAATTGTCTCTCCTATGAGAACTCCCAAAGGGCGAGGACAATATATCTCTGCTAAGACTGGGGACTCCCCAAGGAGGGAAGCTGTATGTCCTTCCTTCAATTGGGAGCTTATGCTATCTCCCCTACCAGACCAGAGGAGATCACAAGCTCTACAACGGCCAATCTCTTCTACTACCCTTCTCCTCCTCCCCCACCCAGCCTAGAGGAAGTAGGTGAGAAAGAGGGAACAAGAGAAAAGACCACGAGAAGTCTGATGCAAGACCTGCATAGTGCTGCATTCCTGCGTAGGCCTGCTGGAGGGGCTCTGCCACACTGGGGCTCTGAGCTGGTGAGAGACAGAAGCAGAGACAGGAAGAGGTGGCAAGGAAGATAGAAACACAGGGCGACAGAGAGAGAGAGAGAGAGAGAAAGACACACACAGAAGGAAACAGACAGAGAGAAACAATGAGTGTGAAGGAGGAAACAGGATTTCCTCAGGATAGCAGATGACAGTGTATGGGAGAACTCCCTCTCGCAGGACAGAGGAAGCTCCTCCCTCATTGTGAGATTTAGGTCTTTTGGGGCCTGGTGTTTCCATGCTTGTGGGTGGTTGGTGGGGAGAACAAGGGGAGGAAGGTGCCCACCTGGGTAAGGGTGGAGACCGTTGGTGTAGAGGGTGTCCGAGGTTGGCTGCCCATTGGTCTGGGGGGTGAGGGGACTGAATCCATTCACCCCAATGGGAGCAGCAATGCTGGGGACAGTGCCGGTGCTGATGCCTGGTGGTGTGCTCGTACCTAGGGTCCATAGGGAAGCCAATGTCAGGCCTTTCAAACTGGATTGAGTGGGCAGCGATCAGCACCCTTTTCCCTCTAGGTATAGGTCAAGACCGAAGCTTCAGGGGAAAAGAGCAGGGTTAGCTATACTTCCCCTTTGGTAGCGGGGCCTATCAGGGAGGAGGTTCCCTGTGGGACCTTTGCCCAGCATGAGAGGATGGGAGCGAAGGAAGCAGTCATGACTTGAGACCCTTGACACCTAGCCTCACAACCTACTCTTTTAAGAGGGGCCTGGCTAATTCTGGTGAGAGAAGGGCAGGGGTTGGTGGGGAAATGCTGACTTAGAATCACCGTTCCTTTTCCACTCATCCTCCTGCCCCCCAGTCATCCTTCTGCCCCAGATTAAGAGGGGGAGCAGTAGGAGAGAAGTGGCCAGTACCTGATGAGGGTGTCACGGGTGTGGCGATGAGGCCACTGACATTGAAGGCAGCCATCTGCTGCATCTGGGCGGCGGCAATGGCTGCCATGGGGTTGAGGCACGTTCCTTGAGCTGCCATCAGAGCTGCCTGCTGCTGCATTATCTTCAAGATGGAAAGAAGGAATTGTAGGGAAGAGAGAGGGCAGAAAAGAGGCAGGACAGGGAGAAGAAAAGGTGGAAAGGAGAAAGATGGGTCACATTGATTAAGGGAGAATGGGATGAAAGATGAAGGATGTCCAATGTACCCCATGAACTCCCAGATAAATGGGTGGCCAGTGCTCTTTCTAGAGTTTTGTGCCTGATTTCTGTTGGAGTTAAAACGGTCAAAGGCACCACTCAGGAAAAATGCTGTCATTGATGCATATGGGAGAAGGGGTAGATGAGGGATCCCAAAGAGGAGGCATCCCCTACCGCTTGTGTGTACACTCCGCAGGCTCCAAACTGTACGGTCATCGGGTGGAAGATGCCCAGCTGCCCAGCCATCTGGTGCATCCTCCTTAGCGTCCGCTCTTTGTCTGTGTCAGCAAACTTCACGACAAGGCTGGAGGAGGCTCCCTGAAGTGGGGGGGAGGAGAGGAGTAGAAGGAGGGCTTGTGGAATCCCTGGCTGTCTTTCTCCTTTGGAGAACATATACATGCTTGGAACCCCTGCTTCTCTTCCTGCCATTCCACCGCTTCCCAAGTTTGTAACTCTGTATATTCTCGTCAGGGAGAAGCTGAGGCAAAGTTGGAAGGAAGAGGGGATACATAATCTGGATGGAGGCTCACTAAACAGGATCGTGGTAGAGATGAATAGGGTGTAAAGAAGGGATCTCATCCCAACCCAGGCTCTTTGTCACCGAAATGTGGCAGGGGCTGTCTGGGTGATCCCTTTCCTCCCCTGGTGCCCTGGGGCTTCTCCTCACCGGCAGAGTCTGGCTGCTATGCAGGCTGTTGATGGCAGCCTGGGCCTCTGCGTGGCTCCCGAATTTCACAAAAGCACAGCCTGGAGCAAGATAGAGTTGAGGTTAGGTCAGATTGTGGGACGCAGATAATGTTCTGGGGTTAGATCCTCATCACAGGGTTTTTCAGGATGAAAATTGGGGTGTTATTGGGTCAGGGTTGGATTACAGGGTCGGCTTAGATCACAGGATCCAGACCCAGTCTATTGGGTCAGTCTGGGGCCAAGGGGCTGTGTAGTGGTACAGTCAGGTAGAGGTCATGAGGTTCAGGATGGGGTTAGGTTGGGATCATGGGACTGTGGGATTAGGATGGGGTTTCAGGGTTAGGATGAGGTCATAGGGGCAAGGTTGGGATCAGCACAGAGTAATGGGCCCACACCTTTGCTAGTTCCATCAGGGCCCCGGAGGATGGTACACTCCTCAATCTGGCCAAAAGGCTCAAACAGCCGCCGGACATCCTCCTCGCTCTGCTGCTTCCCCAGCATCCCCACGAAGAGCTTCCTGTCTTCTGAAGGCAAGCCCCATGTGGTGACCCTAGGGCTGAGTCCTACCTACCTACCTAGCCCTTCTCATGAATCCTACCCTGGCTACCAAAGTCTTAATTCCCCACTTCTCTTCCTCCTCCAGGGACCCTGGGGCCAATGAAGGTCCCCTCCTAGTCTGCAGCCCAGCCTCCTCCCATGTAGTCTATGAAGCAGGGGCTGAATGACTGAACCCTTTGTCTAACGCTGAGTCCTTCTCCCAATCACTAACCTACCATATCCTTCACTGATCTCCATCTCTGACTCAGCCTTACTCTCTTCCTTCCTGAGTTTCTATCGCTACCCTAGAGATCTCACTCCCCTCATTAAGCCCCTTCCACTGAGTTCCTGTCCCCACGACTGAGACTAAACTCTTCTTGAGGTTCTATGACCCCCAACTGAACCTCATCCCTAACACTGAACCTCCATCTCCATCACTGAGACCTTAACACCACGTTCCCCATACCCAATGCTAATCCTATCTTACGGTAGCCCAGCAAGCTCTATGAGAGCAGAGATACCATCCCATCTAAACTTTGCATCCTTCCCAGGACCTAGCATAGTGCACAGCATGTGTATGTTCAGTTAAATTCCTGAGACCTTTCTTTCCTTCACTCTGAGCTCCCATCCATTCTTCCTTATGCCTGGGATGGAAGTAACTTCCTCTGTTAGTGTATTGAGGGCTTTGAATCCATCCTCATAACATCCTTAAAGCTGCCCAAACCCTGGCGTGACCCCTACCTTTCATTAAGTGCCACAACCCCCTCAGCCACCCCCAGCAAAGGCCAGTTTCCAGACAAGGGGTAGTGTGGAGGGGGTGAAGGGAAGTCCCGTGAGTAACCTTCATTTGTAAAGGAGGAAGGCCATTGAGGGGAGAAAGGGCAATGTAAGACGGTAAGGTAGGATGGACGACCTGGCTCTTCCATTTCCCAGGAGGATGTAGGGTTAGAACCTGAAGCTCCTGTGGTCTAGATGAGGTTAGGAGTCAGCTCATTTGGGATTCCCTCTGAATCTCCTACCAGGCTTTTCTTGAGTCCGTTTGGATGCTGTGATGGTCCTTTATTTCTTTCCCCTGCTTGGTTGCCCTGAAACCTATCTACCAGTCATTGTTTGCAATGAAACCCTCAGGATGTCTCAAGGGGATGAAGATTCTAAGACTAAGAGGGAGTGCTGGGTTGGCTGATAATGGTGTCCCAGCCTGTGGAAATAGAAGGCAGGCAGCCTGGGTCCTGGGGTCTGAGGGAGAAAAGAGGGTACCTCAGCACTTCAGAGTGGACCAGGTCCTTGATCCAGACTGTAGAGGCCAAGGCTCTTGTAGGGCTTGAAAGCCTTGCCACCTACACTGGGGTCTAGGAGCAGGTGACATATTTTCTGCCCAGTCTCCCTATTCTCTCTACCAGCACACTATTGGGAGGAATTTTTGAGAGGGCAGAGCTCTGGGGATGCGTTTTCTCATGATTGGAGGCCTTCCCTCTGACATCATATGGATCTGATCACACTCCCTCTTTGGTCTCACCTAAACCATTATCCTCTGCCACCCCACCTTATTCCTCAAGTTCCCTCACAGACCTGGGACCTGGAGAAAGTGTAATATGTAACCAGGGCTTGTGGGGTTCAGTGCTTGGTGGGTTTTCTCAGTGGTCAGTGCTAAAGTTCAAAGTTCCCAGGGTGGAGTGAGCTTACCCCCATTTGAGAGGTAGTGTATGTAGGGTGAGGAAGGACAGGATGAGTTGGCAGGGGAGGTTACAAAGACCACATTGTTTATCAAAGCAGTGTTGACAAGCAATACATGTTGACTTAGACTAGGCAGGGGAACAGGGAGGTATGTAGATAACCATCCTCTCTTTCATCGCCTAGGAAATTAATCTCAGTGAAGGCAAGCTTCTTCAAGGCTTGTATCTCCCTCCAAACACTTGTTCTTCTCATCTAGAGGAATTCTATTTTTTTTTAAAGGGGGTCATACTGACTTGTGATTTGATTCCTAAAGGGAACATCCAAAGAGGAAAATCCTTCCAAAGCAGACCTGCAAGAGGTCTTACTGTCTTAGAGGAGGGGTTCTTAACCTGGAGTCCATGGATCCCTGATAGATTCCAGGGCTTCCATGGACTGGATGGGAAACAGATCAGATCTTTATTTTTACCAACCTTAAACTGAAATTTAGTATTTCTTTTAATTATTTAAAAACATTATTCTGAAAAGGTTTCTCCAGATTACCTAAGAAGTCCATGGCACAAAAAAATTAAGAACCTCTGTCTTAAAGAGTTTCCCAAGAAATTGAGAAGTTAAATAACTTGTTTAGGGTCATACCACTAGTATATGTTAGAGGCAGGACTAGAATCCATGTCTTACTGCCTCTAAGGCTGCCCTCTACTATCTCACACTGACTTTATTTTTTGAGGCAGTCAGGAGTTAAGTGACTTGCTTAGGGTCACACAACTAATAAGTATCTGAGGCAGGATTTGAACTCAGGTGCTCTTAACTCCATGGCCAATGCTCTATCTGCTGAGCAACCTACCTGCCCTCTACTATCGCACACTGCCTTTCAAGATGGATCATCGAATCCTAGATGTAGAGCCTAAAGGAGACTGAGAGAATATATGTTTTCTCCCTGCTTTTCTTCCCTTTCCCCACAAGTCACAAATGAGGGACCTGAAAATAGTATATCAAGCAACCCTGGGAGGGCAAACTGAGTCAAAATTGATGAAATGCTATAGGAAATCCCTCCCTGATTGAGTGTTAGAATTATGAGAGGACTGTTATAATTCCCTGGCATTTTGACTAGCACCTACTGAGCCTTGCTCTGCAAAGCAGCATCCATCCTTCACCCTTTTCTCTCTCTTCCTAGAGACTGCATACAATCAGTGTAGAGGACAGACACCGGGAAGCTTAGATGGTTGAGGCAGCCAGGTCCACAGAAGATCAGGGGCCTCCCTAGCAGGGGAGCTGAGGCTCAGCCTTCCGCAGAAGGCACTTCCACGTTGTGAGGTGATGCCTATACTTTTCTGAGGTGTCTATCTTCACACCATTCCTGACCTCAGGGACATCCTGGTGGAAGGCAGCAAGTCCCAACCCTAGAAGTTCTACCTTTCGCTGGGCACACAGATCCTGGACTGGGGGGTGGAGGGAAGGTTCTTCTTTTACCTATTTCCCACACCCCCACCCCCCCAATCCCAGGGTATGGGAAAGGGCAACGCGCTACCTCCTCGGCCTTCACTGTCAGCAGGCTTCACCTGGATAGGGCGGTTCATCTGAAAAACAAAAGATGAGCACATACAGTTAGAGAAAGAGGCCTGGACCTCATACAGTTAGGGAAGAAGGCCTAGCTCCTGAGAATCCTTAACTGAGCCCACTGCCTCTAGCCACTGAACCATGAGGGATTCCAGTGCTCCTGATCCCCATAGTCCCTAGCATCTCTGTCTGGCTTGGATCCTTCACGATTGGCCAAAACTCTGGCCTGAGTAATTCTGGTGGATTCCTATTGTCTTTAGGATAAAATTCTGATTCCTTTGGCCTTTAAAGCTCTTCACCATCTGGTATAGCCTACTTTCCAGGTTTATAGTACAGTATTCTTCATACACTCTACAGTTTAGCTTGCGCTTCTTCATAAACAGTATTTCATCTCCCGTTTCCAAGTCTTTGCACATTTAGCACCCTAGTCCTTCCCACCAAACATTTATTGTCTTGATCTCAACTTCAGAGGTGGGGTGGTAGGGACCAATGTTAGTGACTTGAACTCTGATTCTCTCCAATTGCTTCAATCTCCTACCTTGTATACTATAGGACTTAGCCTCAGTCTCACACAATGACCCAAAGCTTCTTTCTTAGCCTGAGTGTCCTGTCCTACCCCCAGGAGAAAGTTTGGGATGTCCCCCTGCCCACCAAGTGGTCACTTTAAGGATTCCCCTACCAAGGTCGCTGAGGCTGGAGCAGGGTTATGCGTTGGACAGAGTCCATGCAGTCTCACCTAGAGTAAGCTGGCTATAAGCTTTCAGAATCTCAGACAAAAGAAGTGTTGGAATCTCTTGGCCTCTCCTCTCTAGTTTAGGAAGAACCAATTTTTGGGGGAACAGGGGGAACAGGGACATCTGCCTAAGTTGGATGTGGGATGGAGAAATGTTCAACCTCCTATGTCCTGGGTGTTTTTTTTCCTAGCCCTGTCTAGGGAGAGACACCGAATTTGGCAGACACAAGTCACTGTCATCATTAAACTGAGCACCAAGGTATGCCTGGATGGCCCTATTGCCGGGTGCTGCTGGGGAATCAGGAGGAGAAACCATAAGCTCGCACCTCCAGGAGCCTCCTGTGTAGTTAGAGGCACAAGACCCACACAGTGGAGATAAAATGATACAAGCTAGTCTCTGCTAAATGTCCAATGAGTGGGATGTATAGCAAGGGCCAGAGTCCAGAGAAGGGACAGATCAGCGTGGAGGCTACCTAGAGGGCAGAAGACTTGATTTAGTCCCTCACCCATATCCTGGATAAAACATGCTTTAAGAATGTGATGGATCTAAATTTCTTTTGACCTGACTCCAGGCTCTTGCAGTCAGTCTGATAATATGGCTCACATTCATATAGAGATTTATGGTCTACAGAATGCCTTCTATACAACCTTGCTGAGTAGGTAATACAGATACTGCTGTCCCCATTTTATGGAAAAGGAGACTGAGGCTTTGAGACATTATACCATGTCACTCCCCTGCTCCAGAAGTTACAATAGCTCCTATTGTCTCTAGGAAAAAGACAAACTCTTTTGGCATTTCAAACCCTTCATAATCTGGTGACAGCCTATCTTTCCAGGTTTATTGCACAGTATTACTCTTTATGAAATACCACACCCTGTAGTTCAGCTAAATTGTTTTACTCGCATACAACATCTCATCTCCCATTTCTATGTCTTTACACAGGCTGCCTACGTGCCTAAAATATTCTTCCTTATCACACCTGCTTCTTGGAATCTGTAGCTTTCTTCAAGTCTCATCTGGAGGTCCACCTGTCACTGGAGGCATTTCTCAATTTCTCCCCTTTCTCTGTATCCCCTCTCCATTTTTAGAGCCCTCCACCCATCTCTGAAATCACTCCATATAGATTTTGTATTTCCTTATCTGACTTATTTGTGTATGTTTCCCTCCCATTGGGAGGGCAAGGACCGTGTTTTGTCATTGTATTTCCATTGCCTGGCACAAAGCAGGCACTTAACGCTCATTGAATAAATAGATGACTGAATGAAATGACTTTCCTCAGGCTGAACATGGAGGTGAGAACCAGAGCTTGAATCCAGGTTCTGATCAATGTGTCTGCTTCCCGGTACTTTGATCCAGGGAAGATGGTGCCCTGGACCATAAACATGAGGATTTTGGCCACTGGAAAGGTACTCTCCTCATTATAAATTAATACATTGGCTTTCTGGCTTACAAATCTGTTTACAGTGAACTTGTCTAGCACAAATCAATTCCTTAGTGTCTCGTGACTTTTGGGTGAACTAATGAAATTGAGTTTCTGAACTGTGACAATCTCATTGTGATCATTCCTTTAATCCACAGACAGACAGCAGGAGCTGTCTGCCCCTGAGACAGACTTAATACATTTGCATGTAGTACAAGGAGCTCTTGGCCCTTGGAGAGAAGAGCCAGGTTGTATTCTTTCTGAGAAGATGGATGAACAGGGAGAACTGAGAGAGACAAAATGATGTGGATTTGACAGCTGCAGCTGGACAACTTTCACATTGCAGAGGAACCATAGAGTGGGAGAGTTGGACGGGACCTCAGAGGTCCACTTGGCTTGAATACTTCCAGCAATGGGGAGTTCATTATCTTCCAAAGCAATCCACTAAACTATTGGAAAACTTTAATCATTAGGAAGTTCTTCCTTGTAGTGAACGAACATCTGCTTTCCTTAAATTTTTACCCCATTCTGCTCTTCTCAGACAAGCAGAAGATGTCTAATTCAATCTCCATCTTTCTGATATTTGAAGACAATGAACATGTATTCTCTTCTTCAGGTTGTATATCGCCAGTTACAGCAACTGATTCTCCTGTAGTGTGGTTCTGAGCTCCTTCACCATCTTGGTCAACTTCCTCTAGATAACACAACTTGTCCACATCCCTTTTAGAATTGAACCTAGCATTCATATGTGGTCAGAGTACAGTGACACTTGTTTTGGACATTGCACTTCTTCCTATGCATTCTTATTTTGGATGTTATGCTTCTACTAAAGGTCAGTTATTAAATGTCCACAGCCCAAGACATAGAATGAAAATCTGAAGGAAGCAGGGAACCCAGATGACTTAGGGAAGGGCCACTTTTTTCTTTATATAATTTTTAGTATGAACCTAATTAAACATTGAATAAAGCTATACTAAAATATACTTTGACAAAACAATAATGATATAGCTATTTCTTCCTTAATATTCTATTCTGGAATACCTGCTCCTTAGGTAACAAATGAGCTTTCATCTGAAACCTTTCCCTTTCCCACTCCTAACCTCTGGCACTCACTAAATCCTGGTTCCCTGCTGATGACACAGCTTCTGTGGACATCCTTTCCAGCACTGGTTGCATTTTCACTCATACCCCAGCCCCCAACCTCTCACTGGTTGTGGTGGGGCAGTTGGAATACTTCTTACTCCCCATTGCCACTTCTAGGATTTTTCTCTACCACCACCACTTGATAACTTCTTTTCCTTAGAGGTTCATTCAATCCATTTTTTGTTAGCCAATGAAGATTCTGTTGGCTGTCTATCAATCTCCAGTTCACTCTCCTTCCTTCCTCAATAAGATGGTACCTGGTTCATACACATTCTCTCCTCCCTCTTTCTCTCTTCCTGCCTTCATACTAGGGGAGTTCAATATACATATTGATATTCTCTCAAACACCCTAAAATCCTACTTCCTCAACTTACTCTTTCCCATGAGCTATCCTCTACCTCACCTCAACTACACAGAAAAAGTTATTTCTTTGATCTTGCCATCACCCACAGATGCACTGCTTCTATGTTCAGGAACTCTGAAATTCCTTTATCTGATCACAATTTGTCATTCTACCTCCATCTCTGCTTTGCAACCCCAAAACATGTTCAGTGTTCTGCCATGACCTCTAATGTCTTAAGCCTTCAGTTGTTTCCCAGGCTATCACTTCTGCACTGGTTATATTCTCCTTCCTTTCCCATCTTGATCTCTTGGTGAACAAGTTCAACTTTATACTATCCTCTACTCTTGAGTCCCTTGTCCTCTTAATTTCTGTTTTTTTTTGTTGTTAGGCAATTGGGGTTAAGTGACTTGCCCAGGGTCACACAGCTAGTAAGTGTCAAGTGTTTGGTCTGAGGTCGCATTTGAACTCAGGTCCTCCTAAATCCAGAGCCGGTGCTCTATCCACTGTGCCACCTAGCTGCTCCCCTCTAAGTGATACAATTCCACCTTGTCTTCTCTAGCTTCCCCTCTATTTTGCTCACTTATCTTCAATATCGGTCTACTTGCTGCTTCCCAACAACCTACAAACATGACTATTTCTTCCCCATCCTCAAAAAAAAAATCCTTTCTTGATCCATCCATCCCTGCTAGCTATTGTCCTATATCTTTTCTCTCTTTTCTGGTTATTCTATTCTAGAAGGCAATCTACAACTGATATTTCCACTTCCTTTCCTCTCACTCTCTTCTTAGCTCTCTGCATCCTGGCCTCAACATCTTCATTCAACTGAAATTGCTGTGTCTAAATCTAATGGCCTTTTCTCAGTCCTCATCCTTGACCTCTCAGTGGCCTTTGAAACCGTTGTCATCCTTTTCTCCTTGGTACTCTATAAATTTTTATGATTCTCTTTACTACTCTCTTTTATGATTCTTTATAGGTCTTTATGACTCTACTCTCTCTTGGTTCTCCTTTTACTTGTTTGACCACTCCATTTCTTTTGCTAGATTTTCATCTGTTCTCTGTTATTAACTGTCTCTGTCCCCCAAGGCTCTGTTCTAAGCATTTTTCTCTTTCTCCTCTATTATTTTTATTGCTATGGTGAGCTCTTCAAATTCCACTGATTCAACTCTCATCTCTATGCAGATGATTCTCAGATTTATTTGTCCAATTTCATCTCTTTCCCTTCCTCAGACTGACATCCCCAGCTGTCTCCTGGACATCTCAAACCAGATGCTCTGTAGATATCTTAAACTCTACATATCTACAATGGAACTCAGCATCTTTTTCTCAAAACCCTCTTCCTTTCCAAATTTTCCTATTACTGCGAAGGGTAGAACAACTATC